TGAATTAATTCGTCGAGTTGGTTCGTATATTTTGCTTGGGTGTGACCCGAAGGGTTCAGTCAAGATTAAGCTGTAATATTAATTATATTAATATTACTGATTGGAAGCGGCCTCCACCCAGGCATTCCGATCACTTGACCTTACTGAATATATTAGCTTTCTAATAATTCTGAGCCTGCTATCAGAATAATACACTTGTTCGAAGGACACCATTCCTTTCACGTACCTCTTAGTCTCTTATTCTCTAGCAGTTGCTAGATTTTGGTAGGCTTAACAATTCAATTCTACAATGACACTTTTCTTCGGAGTACTTGTATAATATGTTCGGAGTACAATGACCCTTATCTTTAGAGTACTTGTACCAATTGTGGAGTAGAGTTAAAACACGTCTATACTATATTCGAAGTACTTGTACTCTATGTTTTCGTATTTACACGAAAAAATATCTACGATGGCTACTCCTAATTGTTCCTAAGATTACAAAATAAACAATGATCAAATTAAAGACCGGCAATCTTAATCATACCATAAGTTATACTCCGATTTTAGATTGGAAATAAACATTTAACAGTCTTGAACTCTTGATCATGTCATAGCCAATACTACTCCAATTTAACAGTCTTGAACTCTTGATCATGTCATAGCCAATACAACTAATTAAAATCCTTGAATTACATTCCTACTTTGTTAAATAGTCACAAATATTTAAGATTTCTTTTTTTGTCATCTTAATGCCCGCAATGGAAAACTACAATAGTCCGCGATTAGAAAAGGAACCACTTCATCCAGAGGATGCTCAAACTTCTGCTCAACTTCACTTCCTTGAGCGCCAAGTTCAGCCATTTTATCGGCACAAAAGTTATGTTCCCTTTTCTTGTGTTGAAAGCAGCAATAATGTAGTTCATTGGCCAATTCCCTACACTCATATATCATATCAATGGCTTCTTTATCTAACCATGAATACTTGTACATGTTTTTATTGTTTACTGCATTTATCATATCAACGACCTTTTTCGAGTTTGATTCAATAACTATTTGTTTGAAACCCTTTTCTTTTTATATTGAGAGACCAACCAATATAGCTTTTATATCACCCTTAACCACTTTTCCAGCTTTTGGACCAACATGTTTGTCAAATGGATCGTCCAGGTAATATTTGCAACACCCGGTAATCCAAACACTTTGCTCAGCTCTTGCAATTACTCCATAACTAACCTTCCCATCACTCCTAATGCTTGCATCAGTATTAACTTTTATAAAGCCGGAAATTGGAGGAAGCCAACTTATAAACTCTCGAGGCGGAATAAACGGAATACAAGGTTGCGGGGGAAGCCGAGAACAATATGATGGTGGGTGGAATTGAGGACAATATGGAAGGAGGATTAATAAGGTTGACATTGTTTAAAGTACAAGCTTTTACTCTTAAAAAAATATACAAGCTTTTACTGTTTGTAATGAAGTTCAACAATGAAACCACTATTTATAAATGATTAAATGACATTAGTTAGTCGGCTTATCCCTTAGCAATTCTCTATCCAATACATTTAGATAAATTAAGTGAAATTTTGGAAAATTAGATTTTTTTTTTTTAAATAATAGGAAATTTGACATTCATAGTTTTAAGGAAAGTTTTAGATATTTTTTTGTAATCTCGTAAATGCAATCTGTAAACATATTTATTGATTCGTTGTCCACAATTTGGATACTCATATGCTTCTTTAGTTGAACTTGTTAAAACTTAATCCTTTGGACTGTCATTCCACATTCTTCTTCGGATCCTTCCTATATACGTAGTAATACTATTTTTACCATTCAATAAAAATTTTACTCTTAGAATTTTTTGTTATTTAAATTTTGTTTTAATCCTTTAATTAACATAACAATAAGATTCATTTCGGACACATTGAAATTTGTATTGTATATTGTTGTCTTTGCATTTGATCGTGTATACATTGGCAAAATATGATAATACATACTTTATATAGTCAATAGTCACATTGATATTAGAATTTACAAGATTATAAATACAAATTTTAGCTGATACAATTTTAGCTATTTAAAGATAATACTTCATAGAAGTGTAAAATGATACTCTACTTGAATAGATAAGACGTCTTGTGTTTATTTGTTTCATCTTTATACTCCGTATTAACTTTGAGTAATAAACAAGAGAAAACACAAGTTTATATCCTTGGTAGTTGTTTATCAAGAGGAAAAGCATTATATCAAGGGATAAAACCGACCGCTGATGCGTTCCATTTATAGCACTCTTAGGCTAGGTTTTCTTCGTATTTTTATGCTCATTTTTAGTCTTTTATGTCGTTTTTAGGGAATAATTCTTGATTTGCTTGTTTACGTGTAAGTTTAGAGAAATGCATGCTTTTAATGGTTTTCTTATTATTTTAATCATTTCTCTGCTATTTCTCTCGCTTCTCCGTTTATTTGACTTGTTTTGTAGGTGTGTCGAGTTTCCCGGGATTTAGTCATCAAGGAGGGAGCTCAAGTGCATTCAAGGAAGTTACAGAGTCAAGTTCGGGAAGCCAAGCATGCAAGTCAAGCCAACCAAGCAACCTTTTCAAGCACGAGTGCCATGAAGCCGCCCCGAGTAAGCTGCCAAAAAGAAGAAGCTCCGAGCAGCCATGAACTTCAATAGCCACGCACCAAGGCCGCACCACAAAGCAGCCAGCGCACAGCAGCCCAGCCAGCAGCCGCGGGCTGGCTGCGGGCGCGGGGTTGCTGCAGCCCAAATGAGCCAAGAGCGGTAAGCAGTCGTTGTCTAGCCGCAGGCGCGGCCTCAGGCTGCTTTGTTCCAGCTTTTCTCCTCCGCGGGCGCGACCGATTTCTCCACGGGCGCGATTTTCTGGGTTTTATTCGCGATTTAACTTCTTTTCTCCGTTTGTATATATATTGTACGGCTTTATTTAGTCTTGGTACAAGTAATTCTTTAGTTTAGAATAGTTTCTCTCTCATCTAAGGAGGATTAGGTTAGTTTAGGAATTCCTCTCTCTAGTTTAGGAGTAGTTTTAGAGAGAGAAAGTGAGGGATTTCAATGGTGGTTTGAGAGGTTGAAGATTCAATGGTGACAATTATATTGAAGATCTTCTTAATCAATTAATGAGCATTTCTCACTCTATCTCACCTTATTGATTTGTTTAATTTCATGTTTGTTTGATTTGATTTTGATGTTTGATGCTTGATTAGTGTAGTTGTTCTTGATATATTGTTGATTCTTGATTTCCTTAGTTTTTAGTTGATAGATGATGATTCTTGAATAGTTGTTTGGCTAGGATTTGAGTAAAACTTGTATGATTGATTGATTGTGATTAATTTCGGAATTGTGTTGATTGATTGTTGAGATTAAAGTGATTAATGAAGGTTTGCATGTGTGTAATTCAATTAGGCCTTCAGAATTTTGCTAGATTGCTTTGTATTTGCTAATGATACGGACCATTGATTTAGGAATTGCAATTGTCGAATGAGATTTATTAGTGATGCTCCTAGTTAGAGTCTCTCGTAGTTGGCGCTAGTTTGACCTCTAGGATATAGCTTGTTGACTCTTTTGATTGAGCTTGCCATTAGTCTTCACAACCATTGCCTTGCATGTATTTCCGAGTTTCTACAATTGTCATGATTACTTGTTGATCTCCGTTCCTAGTGCTTTATTTGTTTGGTTTCTTTATTTGGTAGTTGGTAAGTGTTCTCTCTTTATCTTGTTTTCGACCTAGCTTAGGCGCATAATTGAGAGCGCTTGAACATTACCGTTCCTTTGGGTTCGACCCTTGACTTGCCTCTATACTAGTATTTAGGTTGGTTAAGTATTTATAAATTTAGTTTGACCGAGGGAGGATAAGTTTCAATGACCTAGTTCCACCCCTCATCAACCGCTAAAAGTAGTTTTACTCATTTTTATTCCTATCATTGACTGCTTTGACCATGATACACGAAATATGTTTATCATTAATAGTGTTTTTGTTTTGGGTAATCTATAACTGCATTACCACTTTTAAATCAGATCAGATATCAAATATTCATTGTGATAATAAAAAACGTATAGTTAACATAACTAGTATGTGATCGTGATAATGCACGGATTATGACAAATGAATAAATGATGGAACCATTCCCCTCCATCTCCTTCAGTTTTTTATTGTTGTCGTCTATTGTTTTTTTAACGAAACATTTTGGTTTTTAAATATTATTTAGATACTTCATAATTCATAAAGGCTTTGTCTTATTATTATTTTGGAAAAAATGTAAACTAATAATCCCACCTTTACTCCATCTTCCGTAAACAATCTCACCTTTTGAAATTCCAGAAATAATCCCACCTTTGACGGGGATCTTCCACTAACAATCCATGACCGGTTGAATTATTTTGGTAACCGTTTTTACTAGGTTATAAGACACGTGTTGACTTTTAGTTGGTTTGTTCTATTTTTTAATAATTAAAAAAAAAACAAAACAAAACCCCTAACCCCCGCCATTGTTATCGGGGCTAGCCCCACCCCCGCCCTCCACATCACTATCGCAGCCGCCTCCCTTCCCCGGCAACCCAACCTAGGTGTCCGACTTAATCTCAACTTCTCAAGGATCTCTTCGTATCTTCTTCTTCTCCTTCACTAACTTGAGAAAGGTGGCTAGGGTCGATTTTTTCGGGGCTGGGGTTTGGATTTTCAGGGATGGGTCGGGTTTTCAGGGGCTGGGGATGGAGTTTTCAGGCTTCAAAGCCCAAAATCGACCCTTGATATTTCTTTTAAATTATTTTTGGGGCTAATTTAGGGGCTGAATTGTGGGTGTGAATTGATGTTGCTGAAAGAATTCTTTTCCGTGAGATTTCCATTCCATTCACTATGAATATATACAAATTACATGCTCTAATCAAGCCACTAATTATGCTAAGAGATATACATCAAAATATTCACAGCTACAAACTAGGAAACTAATATATACAAAGTCAAAGATATATTAACAACTAATATATCTTAACACACCCCCATAGTCTAAGCGGGAGGAGGGCGAACACTTAGACTATCCTTGAAATCTTCAAAAAGTACACGAGGGAGCCCCTTTGTAAAAATATCTGCAATTTGGTGCCTAGAAGGAACATGAAGAACACGCACCTCACCACGTGCTACCTTTTCCCGAACAAACAAAATGTCCATCTCTATAGGCTTTGTTCGTTGATGATGCACCGGATTGCCAGAAAGATAAATAGCACTCACATTGTCACAATACACCAATGTTGCCTTTTTAATCGGACAATGTAACTCCAAAAGTAAGTTTCGAAGCCAACATGACTCAGAAACCACATTAGCAACGCCCCTATACTCTGCCTCGGCACTAGACTTAGATAGAGTCGGTTGCCGTTTCGAGGACCAAGAAACCAAATTATCAGCCAAATACACACAATATCCAGATGTGGACCGTCTAGTATCCGGACATCCGACCCAATCAGCATCTGTATATGACACAAGAGATGAAATAGAGGACGGATACAGATGCAAACCATGGTCAATAGTGCCCTGAACATATTGAATGACACGTTTGAGAGTCGCCATATGACTCTCTTTCGGATCATGCATATGTAAGCAAACCTGTTGGACCGCATATGATACATCTGGTCTAGTAAAAGTAAGATACTGCCAGGCTCCTGCAAGACTACGATACAATGTAAGATCGGTACAAGGAGAACCTGTAGAACTGTCCTTCGGTTTGACCTCAACGGGTGTAGCCGAAGGTTTGCACGAAGCCATCCCTGCTCAGTCAATAATTTCCTCCGCATATTTGCGTTGCGACAAAAATAATCCACCCTTATATTTTGTCACTGCTATGCCAAGAAAATAATTAAGCAGACCCAAATCCTTCATAGCAAATTCCGAGCTAAGAAGGGACATAATAGAACGTCGCAGAGAATCAGAAGAAGCAGTAAGAATAATGTCATCAACATATAAAAGCAGATAAGCCACATTGTTCCCCTGACGATAAATAAATAGGGAATTGTCACTCTTACTATTAGTGAAACCAAAAGAAGCAACATAATATGCAAACCTCTTATACCACGCCCGGGGTGCCTGCTTAAGACCATATAATAAGCCTCGTAATAAACACACATAATCAGGGTAAGTTTTATCACGGTACCCAAGGGGTTGATGCATATAGACCGTTTCCTCAAGCTTACCATGCAGAAATGCGTTCTTAACATCAAGCTGATGGATCGACCAAGCTTTAGATAAAGCAAGGCTAAGAACAGTACGGATAGTAGCCGGTTTCACCACCGGACTAAAAGTCTCCCCGTAATCAATGCCAACATGTTGTGTTTTTCCATCACCTACAAGACGGGCTTTATGCCTCTCAAAAGAACTGTCAGATTTCACCTTATGAGTAAAAATCCACATAGAACGAATAACATTAACATCAGGCAGACGGGGCACCAACTCCCACGTCTTATTTTTAATAAGAGCATTAAATTCATCATCCATTGCCATTTTCCAATTCGGGTCACGAAGAGCAGAAATGGGGTTACGAGGGAGAGGGGACTTCGTAACATTAGAAACCATAGTGTTGAAATTTTTATACTTCAAATTTGGTTTAAAAATCCCATTTTTGCTTCTCGTGGTAATAGAAGAAGGAATAGAAGGAGTTGGATCATGAACATGTGGGCTAGGGGGAGGAATTGGGTTGGTTTAAAAATCCCATTTTTGCTTCTCGTGGTAATAGAAGAAGGAATAGAAGCAGTTGGATCATGAACATGTGGGCTAGGGGGAGGAATTGGGTTTGCTGAGTGGGTAGGCCGCGAGTGGGTCGTGGCTGATTGAACAGGCCCACGGTCTACCAGTGGCCTATTCTGCCCAACATCAGCGCCCAAGGAAGGAGGGGAAATGGGAGAGAGTGGTGGGCTGCGGTGTGGGCTCGTAGGGGGGGAAGGAGCACGCGGCCCAGAAGAAGAAAGAGGAGGAGGATGGAGAGGTGGGCTTGTAGGAGTAGCTGGCCCAGAAGATGTTTGGGCTTCAGTAGAGGGCTGCCCAAACGGTGGAGAATCAAGCTGCATTTGGTGAGTGATAGAAGGATGAATTTCGTCATCCAAAAAATCATATGTGTGAGAAGAGGGAGTATGCAACTTAGAAAATGGAAAAACCGATTCATCAAACACAACATGTCGGCTTATGAAAATCCTACGAGAAGATAAATCATAACACTTGTAACCCTTATGATTAGACGGAAACCCCAAGAAAACACAAGGTGTAGAACGAGGTTGAAGTTTATTAATCGTAGTAGACGGGAAAAGGGGGTAACACAAGCAACCAAAAACACGTAAATGAGAATAAGACGGCTTTCTTTGATATAGAACCTCTAGAGGAGACTTAGACTCGAGTAACTTACTTGGAATTATATTATGAAGATAAGTAGCCATTTGTAACGCATGATGCCAAAAAGATGGAGGTAAAGAGGCATGTGCAAGAAGTGTGCGAATAATGTTGTTCAATGACCTTATTTTTCTCTCGGCTTTCCCATTTTGAGACGAGGTATGTGGACATGAAAGACGAAATGACATCCCATTAGACTCACAAATAGCCCAAAAAGGTCCGTTATCATATTCCCTCCCATTATCACATTGAAATGTTTTAATAGGTCGGTCAAACTGGGTTCGTATTAATGCTTGAAATGCTAAGACCTTATCAAAAACATCCGATTTCTTAGCTAAGGGAAATGTCCACAAAAATTTCGAAAAATCATCCAAAATAAGCATATAATAACGGTGACCTGATGAACTCAAAACAGGTGATGACCAAAGATCATTATGAACAATATCAAAAGGCATAGTAGTAGTAGAAATAGAAGAAGCAAATGGCAATTTAATATGTTTTCCAAGTACACATGAATGACAAACACTAGAACTAGAAGAGGAGTGAGTACATTCAATGCTTTTATTATTACTAAGAGTCTTTAAAATAGAAGCTCCCGAATGTCCCAATCTATCATGCCAAAAAGAAGAGGCTAAGGCTGTAAAGGTTGATGGAGAAGAGCGTGATGAAGTGATAGTGAGTGGATAAAGGTCCCCTTGGCTATCACATCTCATTATGGGCATCCCCGTCCGATAGTCCTTCACAGAAAAACCATAAGGGTCAAACTCAACAGACACACAATTATCAGTGGTAAATCTACGAACAGAGATTAGATTTTTAATGAGTTTTGGGGCATGTAGGACATTAAAGAGAGACAATGGAGGATTAGGGGATGGAAAAGTAGCATTTCCACAACCACGAATTGGAATAGTATGACCACTACCAACAACAATACTATTATGATGATTGCTCAAATTAAAATAAGACGAGAGATTACCGTTGGTGGATGTCATATGAGAAGTAGCGTCGGTGTCCATGTACCACGAAGGATCGGGCTGCTGCAGAGACATGGTGTTGAAAGTCGACTCCAAGTCAGTTGGAACATAAGAAGGAGATGGAGAGGCCGCATATGCTTGTTGTTGAGGTCGTGGACCAAGAACACCTTGTTGTTGCCTTGTTGGGCCTTGAGGCCTAGCCCAACCTTGGGTTGGAAATGGGCAAGGAGGAGCAGCCCACGGCCAACCCCAAGGTGGGTAAGCTTGCTGCTGCCAGAACGAAGCCACGCCCCACTGCTGCTGCTGCTGACTGCCGCCACGGTTACCACCCCCGGCGCCGGAATTCTGACCACCTCCGGAGGCTGGACCACGACCACCACTGTGCTACCCCTTTTTCCCAGAATTTTTCTTATGATTTTTGCCCTTTCCGCGAGTATTACCCGAGCTATCCGAACCCGAATCACCATCACGAGAGGACGCCACCAAAGCTGAAGCAGAACCCGAAGCCATTGCTGCCCGTTTTGCCAAGCCCGCCTCCTCCAAGGTAAGCATGGATCGGGCTTGGTAAAATTGAGGTAGGGGAGAGCTTTGACGGATAAGTGTAGCAACACCATTATACGGTTCGGTGAGACCCAAAACCAACTGTAGAACAAGTCTTTTATTGTCCACTGGAGCTCCAACATTGCGCAACTGATCGGAGAGACCTTTGAGTCTTTGACAGTAGGCTGATGCGTTTGGAAAGTCCTCCATTTTAGTAGAGGAAAATTCTTGTTCAAGAGTTACGGCACGAGAGTTTTGATTGTCTTGGAATATATCACGCAACCGATTCCAAGCCTCCATTGCCGTAGCATCGGGTTCCATAATTGTCTCCAAGAGATCACCATAAATAGTGGAGTAAATCCACGAGATTACGGCAGCATCTAATGTAGACCACCACTCCTTTTCCTCGGCAGTAAGAGTAGGAGTTTCCTTCGCCTTGTCATTGGTCAGGGGAGGGATAATATGGTGTAGAACCCGGTGAGAACGAGCGTGGATTTTAAAGAGTTCCGCCCAAGTAGAGTATTGTGAGTTATCAAGAGTAAGAACCACCGGAATGGATGTCTTGATGTTATTCACGGTGAGAGCGGGGTGATACGAGGTCTTTGAATCCCCCATAGAGAAAAAACAGAGAGGAGATGAGATGAGAAACAGAGAGGAAGGAAGAAGAGGGCGGAAAATTCAGTTAGGGTGCAGCGGAATAACCCTAAGCAAATGATACCATGAAAGAATTCTTTTCCGTGAGATTTCCATTCCATTCACTATGAATATATACAAATTACATGCTCTAATCAAGCCACTAATTATGCTAAGAGATATACATCAAAATATTCACAGCTACAAACTAGGAAACTAATATATACAAAGTCAAAGATATATTAACAACTAATATATCTTAACAGTTGCAGCTATTGAATTGGAGGTTTGGCGGTTGTAAGTGGGCTGCATTGGTGGCGCGTTGATGCGGCGTGCTTGTGAGGTGGGTTAGGCGGTGGTTTATCGGCTATTACAGAAGTTGGTTGTGAGCTGTTGTTGCGAATTTGTTGTGAGAAAGGTGCGTGAGTCGTGGCTGGTGCGATGGTTGTTGGCTGTAGTAGTAACGCAGCTGCTTTCGGTTGCCGCTGGTGGTGAAGTGGGAGAAGGGCAGCAGGGTGTTGTTGGTGCTAGGTGAGGTGTCAATGTGGTGAGCAAGTATGCTGGTACGGTGCGTGAAGGAGTTGTGGGTGCAATGGTGGTGGACTGGTGGTCCAAGGAGAAAGACTAAGAAAAAATATTATTAACCTGTTTAACAGGTTGTAGGTCAAAAGGATCATTAGCAGAAGATCCCTGTCAAAAGTGGGATTGTTTCTCGAATTTCAAAAGGTGGGATTATTTATGGAAGACAGAGCAAAGGTGGGATTATTAGTTTACATTTTCCTATTATTTTTTTAATATTTATTTGCATAGTACATTATATTGTTGGATCATAAAATTTTATATATGAGTGACTACACTGTGTCCAGAGTTACTTAGTTAGTCAATGTAATACCCTAACTTTTTTTTTCAATTTTAAGTTTCGAGGACGAAATTTGTTTTAAAGAGGGTAGATTGTAATGCCCGAACATTTCGTTATTTTATCTAATATATTTTATAGCTAAACTAAGTTTTGCTTAGATAAAAATTATATTACGAGTATAATAGCTCTAACTATGCTTAAATAGGACTTTATTTATTTTGTCCTATATAAACTATCTTGAAACCCTAATAATTATATAAATTGCTTTAGTATATATATATGTAGTATATGTAAAGCTTTATTTCTTTGCCCACTCTCGTTTTCTGAACGCAAGTCTTCAAAAGTTTGGCAGCAAGATGATTATTCATCTAATTTACAATTCT